GCAACCGGGACAGAATCCGGCGCCCCGACCTGGACTAGAACACGGTGTGCCAGCGCCACAAGGCGGAGGATTAGCCTAGGGAGCTGCGGCGCCGGCCTCACATAAGTCTTAAAAAAAAAAAAAAAAAAAAAAAACCTATAATAACAATGCTAAAACTTCTCTAGAGTTAAAAACAAAAGTGTTAAATCAATTTTTTTTCACAAAAGCCCACCTAAACTGTCAGATTTTCACCCATAAACGAAGTTTCACAGTTAATGTTTTCTTGCTATTAAGCACCAGTGAAAATTAAAATGTTCAGAACTATAGAATTCTTAATCCATTTATCTTAAAACAGATCTCAATTGCTATTCCTCAAATTTTCACCCTTTTGTTGCAATCTTACAAACTACACAAAGTTTGCTTTAGTCATAAATGGATGACAAACCATTTTTCATTACCAGAAGTTAAGCTATGCCCCTGTTAATAAAATAGGCTAAATATATAAATACTAGCTGCTTGAATGATGAAATAAAAAATATTTTCCAAACTCTATAGAAAAAAGAATCTAAAATACCAACATTCTAACACTGAACACTCTTACTAAGCACATAAACATTTAAATATGGAATGGAAGGAATGATACTTTAAGTCCACCATCAGGACAAAATAACTGTCAAGAAAAATCAGCTAATTTCTTCCCGGCTACTTAGTGCTCTACTAAGAACATTTAAAAGTTACCTTTTTAGAAACTGAACTGTTTACACATTTTACAAACAATGTATTTTATCAAAAAGGAAAGACAATTTGCATAGACCTGATAAAGGTTTTAAGTATTTCCTAATAGTTTGATACAACTGTGTGTATTAAAAAACGTCTAAAAGTAAAATGGTTTTCCTCTTGGTAATATAGTAAGGAATAAGTCTGGACTAGCCAGCAATTAGAGAATAACAGCAGCAATCTAAGCACTTATGATTCAGGGATTTATTTCTGAAAGATGGCATCTAGTCATTGTTAAGACCTATCTACAGTTATTAGTTCTGCATCAGTTTTTTTAAAATCAAAGTGACTATGGGGTGAGTATTTGGCACAGCAATAAATGCCTCTTAGGACACAAGCATCCCATTATAGAGCCAATTCAGCTTTCTGTTGACACACACCCGGGGAGGCAGCAGGTGATGATGGCTCAAGTACCTGGGGGTCCCTGCCACCCACATGGGAGACAGGATGAAGTTGCTGGCTCCTGGCTTTAACCTGGATCAGTCCTGGCTATTGCAGTCATTTGGGGAGTGAGCCAGCACATGGAAGATTCTCTTTTTTCTCTGCTTTTCAAATAAAAATGAAAACAAGAAACCAAAAAAAAAATATTTTAAGAGCACAGTTCAGAAGCAAAAATGATTTTTTTCTCCTTACAGGATTCCATTCTTAAAATGCATTTTAAATAGAAATATGAATGGAGGCATGCTCTTAATCTGAATAGTATATTTTACTGGAACATCAAGGAAATTCAGTTTGTATTTGTGGCCATTTATCTAATCACAAGCATCACAGCATCTGAGGTGTTCTTACTCCTGAAGGCAGGCTAGTTATTAAAAGGCTAGTCTACAACATAAGCAAATCTTCTGAGACAGGAACACTTGCTAATAAAGCCAGAGACATTACAATCACTTGCTGCAGATTACACTCCTACATTAGGCAGAGTCTACACTTTCCCTCTCTCATCCTCCTTACCCCTCACCCACACACAAGGTTACATGAAGACAGAGATTCACTGTCCTCTGTAAATTAACTTGGCTAGAGCGCAAAACAACTCCTACCAAACTACAAAACAATGAACTGGAATGTTCTTTTTGAAACTCTGTAAGTTTCAGATTCAGAACTTTTGAAAAACAAGCCAAATAAAAATGTTGAGCACATGTAACAAGTTAGTTGTCCTAGAAAGTTTACAGGCCAGTCAAAACTGTAGCATCTGGAATTCCTCAGATAATCACCCAGAGCCCTCAAGACAAGAAATAGAAGTGACACTTCAAACACCCACATATACAAAACTTGACAAAAAAAAAAAAAAAAAAGGTTGGATATAGCACAATATAAAAATACCACCAACAGAAGACTTTGAAACAGAATCAAAGCCACAAGATTTCTGGGAATAAGCCTGTTTGTTCTGGCCAAAAAGGAACATAGTGGAACAGGCATTCTTCCTTCCTCTGGCTCTTCCAGACTAAGTTCTCTAAGTGTACCAATGCAGAGACATAAGGAAAACTTGAACCTAAGCAAAATTTCAAAATCCCTTATCGTTCACATGAAGTAAATAAGTATACACTGAGTATACTCTTCTGAACGACCAGGGCTTCTCCCATTAACAGATAAAAATCTGTAGTTCTCCCAGAATACACTTCTCCCCCACTTCTAAGCAACTCTTCAAAGGCGCCTAGGTCTGTAACAAGGAATGAAGCGTTTTCAACTCACATTGTTTCTCCAGTCTTGGCTACGTGACAAAGAAACTGATCCAGGACAGGGCAAACTTCCTTTTTACCCCTCTTCTCAAAATCTAGATGAGGGAAGAAAGAAAGGTTTATCATTATTTCTCAAACGTCTTCTAAAAACAAACTTTACTCCCAGTCCTCCCCCTTTCGGAGAGGCAACTTTACAACAGCAGCTTCTCAAAGCCTCCCGGTTTCCCTTCCAAGGCTCCCCCCTTCACTTGCCACAGGGATTCTCCCCAAGGGGGCACTGAACTCCACGAAGCGCTCGCTCTTCTTCACCGGGTGTTCCTCAAAGTGTGGCCCGGGGGAACACCACCACCATCCCACCCACCGGCGAATGCGACGAAAATCCTTACAACCTCCGGGGCCCCGACTCCCAGACACCCTGGGTCTAAGTGAGCCCCCACATTCTGTCTTTTAAGAAAACAACAGCCTCGCCGAGTATCCGTCTCCCCGCCCCCCAATGTTTCTGGGCGTCACGGAGTTAATTCTCGAAATGCTAGAAATCACGGTCTTTCAAGTTGGAGAAACCTCTGGTCCCAGCCTGTTGCTTCAAAGGCGACCACCTCAGAACGAGGGCGCGGGCAAGGACGACGTCTCCGCAGCCCTGAAAAACGCTACCGGAGACAACTCGCAAGTTGCTCGGCCACCCCCTACCCCGCCCCGATCACTTTTCCTCTGAACCCCCCCCACCCCTCACGGGCCTGGTCGAGCTCGGCGCCGAGCCTGCCTGAGGGGGAGGGGGCTGCGGGCCCACCACTACCCGCCCCTAAAAGGCTGGGAGCAGGGCTGGGGCCCCCCGCGAGAGCGCCCGGCTGAGTTACCCCCAGCGTACACGTTGACAAGCGACACTCAGCACAGATCACAGCAAGAAGGGAATTGCTTTCTGATTC